ACAGCTGATCAGCTGTTTGTCGGCTCAGCATGGCAGCCATGTAAATGTAAATGAAGCCGCGATCATTTAAATCGCGGCTTCATTTACCTTTGCGGAACAAACAAATCTACATGCCTCTGCCGACAGAGGCATGTAGTGTAGACGTACCCTTAATGTATACATTTTCATGGCTAGCTCAGGCTAATCTCTGAAATACAATCCAGAAGGAAACTTCAGCAGGCCCTTCATCTCTATTTTAACAAGGAAGGCAGCATGAGCTAAGGTCTAGGGCACTGGTTTGGGAGCTTAGATTCTTCCAGTTCTGTAACTAAATTATAACATGAGTGAGCCACTTAACTCTTCTGTAAAATGGGGATAATGATTTTCATCCGAGTGTTGAGATCCACCAATGGGAATTGCTATGTAAGTCTAGCATTAGCTCCCGGGGGCCAAATGTTACCCATAATGGTTAGCAATGAATCATATCGTCTGACACTGGTGAGCTGCCAGTGGAGAGATGACTGATTCATATATCCTATAACTGGGTGGAAGTTCAGACCTGGATCTGTCTCTAACTTATATGGGGACACTTGAGAGGAAAATGAACACGAACTTTTTAATGGTGTTAAATTAAACTGAACACACTGGGCCAAATGCTGTGATCTACCAATGTGCTTTTAACTAGTAGTCCCATTACATGTGTGCTTGAGAGTTTTGTTGGTTGGGTCCCTAGTGAGTGCAGAATAAGTCCGCTAAGTGAGAGCAGGATTGGGTCCTAAGGAAATTTTGCAGGAGAAATGGAAAAATATATTGCTTATAAAAAAACATTTGGCATGTTACTCTGCCCCTTCCCCTGTCCATGGTTACAAAGTATCCTGAGCTGTTAGTTACCCTAATTTAAAAAGACAGACTGCTACTAAAATCCCACTTAGGATGGCTGCTTATCAGTATCTCAGCTGGTTCTGAGAGAGACATGCCAAGCTCCTGAAAACCGTGGACAGACCTTCTGACTTCCAACACAATCATTCGGTATCTATTAAGAGCCCTTCAATTCCCAATACTGCCATTCCAAGATGGCAATGAAAATGACATCCCTGCCATCTGGTAACCTGGGAGCCAGAGCCCAGCTGTGTCATGGGCTGGCTTTGCTCTCCGTGCTTTTGTCCGACTTCATCTTTCCAGTGAGCGCCTAGCTACTAATATAAAGCAGACAGACATCAAGGAACAGATTCCCTTTAATATACCTCTCCAGTTGCCCACCTCCCCATCTTCCCCTTCATTTGACAGCTTTCTATGTACCGGTCTAGCAGGCTCCCAAATTTACAAAGCCCCACCCCAAGCTCACAACAGGCTGCTTAATGAGTCTTTGCATCGGCAGGGTTTCTTAAGCACACTGGCAGCTCTGTGTGTCTCTCTCTGTGGGCAACTGCTCTTTATTATAAGCCAGCAAAGGGTCTGCTGAGGTAACAGCTGGCAGAGAGCAAAGTGCCATCGGACAAAGCTGTCTGAAGGCGAGTTATGCATCTAGCTTGTTAAGGTCTCCCCCTTTCCCTGTGGAGCTGTACTGTGTGACTTTGGATGGCCAAAGGGAAGTCTCTGCAGAACCAGTCTGCTATATTTGAAAGTGTGAACAGAGAGAAAGAGACAGTGAAAATGCCTTGATCACTTTACATTGATGTGCCTGCACCAACCTCAGCTGCTGCTGATTTATGCCAGTATAAGCAAGCAGAAAATCAGGCTCAACAAGCCTTCTTCAGCTTCTCTTGTAGACAATGGGCCAAATTCTGCCCTAGGGACTCGATTTAGCTCCCATTAAAGTCATTGGAAAGATCCCTTTTGACTTCAATGGCGCTACTGTCTGTGCAATCTAAGCCGACGCGAGTAGGTGTAAATTTGGCTCTTCGGGAGTGGGAGGGGACCCTGTGTTTGAAGTCGATGAATATTTTTGGAAAGGCAAAAAATTTCACCTCATCCCCTGCACTCACATATGTTCATCCCCCCACAGCAGCAAAGGGATGGCCAAAATCTGGACCCAGTCTCAAATTTCACAGCATACACATAAGAACATAAGAATGGCCATGCTGGGTCAGACCAAAGGTCCATATAGTCCAGTATCCTGTCTGCTGTCAATACTAGGTGCTCCCAGAGGGAATGAACAGAACAGATAATCACACGTTATCTCTCCCATGTCACCCATTTCCAGCCTGTGACAAACAGAGGCTAGGGCAGTGGTCTCCTACCTTTTTAACCATGAGATCACTTTTTGAATTTAAGTGCGATCCAAGATCTACCTCAAATATAAACACCCTGGCCCCACCTCCTTCCCGCCCTTTCTCCAAGGCCCTGTCCCTGCTCACTCCATCCTCCCTCTTTTGTCCATCCTCCCTCTCTTGTCCATCATGCTGGGGGAGAGGGGTGGGGTGTAGGCTCCGGTCTTGGATTAAGGGATCTGAAGTGTGAGAGGCACTCTAAACTGCTCTTGGGGCAGGCAGTTGGGATGTGGGAAGGAGTTCTAGGTGCAGGCTCTGGGAGGGTGTTTGGATGTAGGGGTGCTCAGGGCTAGGGCAGGGGCTTAGGGTGCAGGAGGGGGTTCATGACTGGGGTAGGGGTTTGGGATGTGGGCTCCAGCTAAGCACTGCTTACCTCAGGTGGCTCCTGGTTGGTGGTGCAGCGGGGCTAAGGCAGGCTCACCCCTGCCCTAACCCTGCACCACTCTCTAAACCAGCCAGCAAACTCCATCCCAAGTCCTGTTGTGTCCCCTCTCTGCTCTGTGGAGAAAGGATACAGAGTGGGAAGGGGGCACCTTGACATCAGCGCCCCTTCTCTCCCTCCCCTGCCCTGCCCAGAAAGCAGGAGTCTCCCCAGGGGGAGGGGTAGCTCCATGGCAAAGAGCAGGAGATGGGCATCAGTAGGGGAAGGGGCAGCTGAAGTGCAGGCACTTGATAGCCCTTTGGCCAAGCCAGTCAGGATCACCTGTCACAGGTTCCAAGATCTACCAGTAGATCCTGATCTACTGGTTGGTGACCACTGGGTTAGGGACACCATTCCTACCCATCCTGACTAATAGTCATTGACGGACCTATCCATGAATTTATCTTGTTCTTTTTTGAACCCTGTTAAAGTCCTGGTCTTCACAACATCCTTTGGCGAGGAGTTCCACTAGTTGACTCTATGTTATGTAAAGAAAAACTACCTTTTGTTTGTTTAAAATCTTCTACTTATTAATTTCATTTGGTGACCCCTAGTTCTTATGTTATGGGAACAAGGAAATAACTTTTCCTTGTTCATTTTCTCCATACCTATCATGATTTTATAGACACACATTATGGGAGCCTGCCCCTAGCTAAAAATTCCTTCTGAAACCCAAGCATACTGTAGAACCTCAGAATTGTTAGGATTTTTAAACTATTTAACAGGACTTTACTACCTGCACCTAAAACTGGCAACCATATTTTTAGGGTCTTTAAAAACCTGGGGGACAGATCCTCGGCTGATGTAAATCAACCTCACTCCATTAGACTCAATATTGTTAGGCTGATTTACACCAGCTAAGGGCCTGTCTCCCAGATATTTAGAGAAAACAGAATCCAATCCATTATATCTATCAGAACCAGGCACTTGAAATGGTGCCCTTTTGACAACAGAATGGTGGGCACATTTCAAGCAGAACTTTTCTAAGGAGATGAGACATTGGGACAAGTTCCAGGGAAATTGCAAGACACACTGTCAAAATAAAACCCTGAAGTCACAGTACAAGGAACCTGCTGCCTTCGCTGCTGGGTCATTTCCTGCTAGGGGGAAAGGATCTAGTAATATTCACCACTCATATAAGCAGCATAAAATGATTTGAAGCTCAGGGAGATGCAGCCAGTGGTGAATTTGAGCTCAGATATTATAGGGCTCAGTTCTGTCCCTTCATTCACTCAGCGTAACCCCTTTGAAGTCAGAGAACTTTGGGCCTGAGCCAA